CTGTCTCCAAATAAACTTTTGTCTTGGCTGTGGAGACCAAGCTTTTTAGCAGATGATACCTTAAAAACCTTTTGACTAAACATAAAGAGTATATAAGTAACTTTAAGGTGTCAGCTTGCTTTTACTCTCGATAAGGACAGAGAACCAAGCGGAGACCAGAAAACAATTTATTTGGCGCTAGGGGAATCAGTGAGTGACTGTCTGTCCGAGTGTCGCGCTTCAGGCAGGCCCCTTCCTCTACCCAACAATACTGCGGCAGGCAGGTCAGGGCAGGGAGCAGGCCCCGTCCCTGTACAACAATACCAGACAATACTAAGCCACCGACGGCGGCCGCTCTGCTCTGCCCCACCCTTAGCTCATCAACGCCGCTAGTCCCCCGAATTACAAAATTGCAAGTAATAACAAGCAGCCATAAACAAATGACACTTAAATATGAGAGAAAATTAGAAAGCAGACCTATTCTCAAATTTGTATCATCTGCTTTCAAGATAGATTCTTGATTTAGATTTTTTCCTTGTGCAGACTATTACGTTAGTGGTTACCTCACAGTTGCAACGGGTGAATAGTGAATAGCGGAGAAGTTTGTCTCTTACATGTGCAGAACTCCCTCTGTTATGTATGGGAAATGCAGATTTCAGCCTGGCTGGGAGTTCTACCCCGTGGTATAGCCTTCTCTGTCCCATCTTCCAACCTCAACGACACACCCCTCCCCCTGTTTCTCATGCCCCCTCGAGTTGGATCGTAGCCAGCAAACGGCAGTCAGCCGAATAACGTTGATAGCGGGCAAGATGTGTCGATAACGATCATGCTGCTGTGATAGTCGACTCCGAGGCTCGATTAAGTAAATTGATTTTCCTACAAGGAAATTTCTTAGAAAGTTTCCCCGTATTCCTTTTGTTTTCACTTCTTTTTGAGCAGTTTTTGCTCACCGCCTCGGATTCGTAGCGTAGTTTGACACACCGCGTACGTCGTAGTGGAAGCCGCGGCCAAGGAGAATGAAGTGACTGCTAAACGATAAACTACTTGTTGCAGTTCCCTGGAGCTTGTGCGCGCACTGCAGACATCTCCACTAGGTAGTAGGTTGCCCACCGTAAGGATTATTTTTTTAGACAGGCAATACCATTCCACATCTGGTATGCGCTCACTGTAAAACGTTTTCGTGATTTTACGAAAAAATAAGTCACGAAATGCTTCCTAAAAATTAATTTGCGAAAATATTTCGTAAGTGCCAATTTACGAAAACATTTCGTAAAGTAACGAATACATTTCGTAACGAATGCATTCTTTTGGGTCGTAAGACATAAAATTTGACTAGAATATTTACAATTTTCATACCCTTTAGTTAGAGCTTAGGATTTTCAAAGAAAATTCGTAAAATGACGATGTATCGTAATTTCTTAGAAACAAAGTTTTCGTTATAGGAAATTAACCGAGGAAATGTCGTAAAATCACGATAATTTTCTTTGCAGTGCTGCAGACCCGCCCGCCCTCGCTTCTGGGCTGCTCTTCGCTGCAGTTTAATAGTGAGTTGCCTACAACTGAAAATAAGGAACGACTTTCGTGGCCACCTGGTATTATTCTTGTGTGAGCGGAGGGCTGCTCTGGTTTGCGGGGCGCGCGCGACTCCTCGACTTGACCCGCCCGCTCGCCCCGCCCCGCGTCCACCCCGCCCACCCCACCAGCCCGGCAGGGTCAGGGCTTCCTCCATTCCCCACCTCGCCCCGCGTCGCCCACTGCGGCCCCACCCCGCCCCAGTGCAGCAGTGTTGTCAAGTCGCCGAGGCGGGGCGTGGCAAAGGCACGGCGTGGAGGGACAAAGCGGCTCAGGTTCACTCACCACCGCCGTGTGGGGATGAAGCCCACTCACCTGTCACAAATGGAAATGTTGTAATATTTACCACAGATTTTGTTTACATCGTGAAATTTGCTTTGAAAACTGCTACACTTTTGTTCAAACTGTTGAAAAACTAAACTTGTCTTCAAGCAAAAAGGTCAGCACCTGCGCTCTCCGCCTGCTATCGATTTATAAACCTCTTTGTCAGAGACAATCTTTTAAGTCAGTAATACGTAATAGTTAATTTTTGTATTCCTACAAATTTTTTTTGTATCGGCGAATTACTTACATAATTATACGCGAGAACAAGCAAATTAGTCACTAATCCTAGTGCTTTAAACGTATCTTCAAGAACAAAAACTATCAGTGCAGTTCTGAGAGTGTAACAGAGCTGTTTTAACAATGAGTTCTTTTACGACTACTTACTAATAGTAAGAGTGGGACATGCCAGGATGTTGAGTACTTGGGTACTTCCGAGTACTTTCTTTCTGAGTATGACCAACAGTGCGGCTACTACTAGCTCTGTCCGCACTCTCTTGCCCCACCCCATGTGTAACTTGCCTTGGAGTTGGCGTAGCCGGGCGAGCGCGACCCACAAGGACACCACAGCCACTGTAGTTTAGTGGTTAGTCGCACGCTGCCACCCCCCCCCCCCCCCCCTTTCTGGTCTCTTTCTTACACACTGAGTAACTCTATCTTATCCCTATTGAATTCACTATCATTCCGGGAAGGAGTTAAATAACTGCTTTCTCCAAGTGCCTTCTTTCCTGAACACACTACGTGCGTGCACGGTGAAGGGCGTTACGGAGACAGTGCAGTTCGCTCCCAATTCCTTGCTGACACGCATAGGAGCAATTTTGTGTAATCGTTCATTATAGACTAATCAACTCTAAAGAATGCTGATAAAGTTCTCCATTATGGAATGGAGCATTTTACGCCTAATTCAAACGCAGGCCTAGATAGAAAAATAGAAAAATATACTTCATTACCTAACGGCTGGCATCTACGTTAAACAATTAAACACCCTTTTAACATCCAGACAGTTTTGTTTGTATTGCCCAGACAAAATCTGAGAAAGTCGCATTTTTCTGGACATCTGTACCCTCTTTCGCTCAAGGTTAACGGGTTCCGCATGTTACGCTAGTAAAAAAATCACTCCATCATTGCATCCTTAGCGTAGGGAGACCAAGGATGTGGTAATTATGTCCTTTGGGACGTTCTGTCCACCCTCCCTATCTCTGTTCGTACTCGCTCCAGGTCTCCCGGGTGACTCCTTAGTCTATCTTTACACACTCCTCGTCGAGTTAAAGTCCTCTCCCCTGCTTTCGCAGGGCCGCCAACGCCGTCCCCAGGGCCACCCCATTCCTGCGCACAGCCAGAAGGAAAAGACGGAAGAAGCATGACGGCGCACCTGAGCCCAGCTGGCGCGCAACCCATCGCGCACAAGCAGAACCTGCAGAGCTTGTCTTCAGCATATGAGAACCGCAACCTCAAAACACTGCCTCAGTAAAGTTATAATTGTTCTCTAAATTGGTTGATAAATTAACTCCTCGCAATGCGCCGGCTTTGCTCTCGCTATGAACCCCTGCAGCCGGCCGGGTAGGCAACGCGCCCACACAACTGCACTACACGACTGCGATTGCCTAACAGCGAGGCGTTTCTTTCGATACACGCACACTGAAACCATGCGAACTTTATTTTACTTTATCTTACTGAAATCTGTGGAAATCAATAAACATGCTCAGTCAGCTCTTCAGTCAGCTTATGCATTTTATA